CGATATCCCGCCTCTGATACCTTTCTCCACCATGAGCAACATGTCTGGATCTGATAACAGCTCCAACTTCACTTCGGTGATTTTCAAGGCAGCGTCCCATGCTAGTCCAGGCGCTGTATAATACCAGGCAGGGTCAAGATCGTAGTTCTTGATGCAGACGTCTCTAAAGTTCTCAAAGACATCTGCCAAGAGCAACACGTCCGACTGGTTGTACAGTTCGTGGTAGTCCCTGAGTGACTTCATGCCAAACTCTTTCCACACAGTTTGTGCATGCTCATAGTCATCGTCACTAATCTCTTCTCCACTGAGTCTGGAGTAGAACGCTACTTTTCGTGGAAGGGCTGTTTCATCTAGTCTTTTGAGTGAATCCATATATTCATATGGGTAGACACCCTTTCTCATTAGTAAGTCTAGATGTTTTCCGTTATAGTACTTCGAAGTGTTAGTGAAGCAGTCCTGATCCAGATTACCGGACAGCTTATCCAGGCTAGAGGCCATGAACTTGAAGCTGTCGATGAATCTGAGTTGGTGCTTAACATCCTTCTCTTTCCCGTCCTTGCCAGTATAAGAACCGACAACAACCTCCTTGGTGAAGCTGATGTACTTTTCCTCGTTGTTCGGGATGCAGTTGATGTTCCCCTCAGTTTTACCGAGGTTCTTGACGAACAGATGACTGTCATAGCCGCTCAGATTGTGGAACACCACGGGAGTGAACTTCGGCTTCTTGTACTGCAAGTTACAACTATTGTGAGCTGCACCTCGGTATTTCCCAGTAAAGTGACAGTGATCTCTCACCTTCTTGTCATCCTTACTGAACTCACCTTGGCAGATCCAGCACTTTGTCGCCTTTTGGAATTGTTTGCGGTCATTTTCCCCAAAAATCATTGGTTTCGCCGGAATTTTGCCAATTTCTTTGATGTCTTTCTCCAACATTTCTACGAATATTTGGGAGACATCTTCGTCGTCAGTTTTCGCGGTGTAGGTAACCGGATCTTTAGAGAAGACACCATCATCAAAGCATTTGATGTAGTAACAAAAGCTCGATGGGGTGTGTTTCTGGTATTTCTTCGTGTAGCTCTTTCCCGGACACGGTTCACACGTATCTACGGGTTTGATGAAAGATTCAAAGTCAGCATACACTGTGAACGGCACTCTCATGGACTTGTGTATGTGCCCAAACGAAATGGTCGAGCCCTCTTCTGGCATCTCTATCTTGACGGCCTCGTTTGAATAACAGTATTCCATGTGCTTATTCAACGATTCCTGTGAGTAGAAGGGGTTCAAACATCTGAGACAGTAATAATTTTTGTGTTGGTGGTTTCCGGTTTGGCTGGACAACAAACGGCTCATGTCTTTGATGACGCAGTAATGCTGCTTTTCCCCATCAGAGATCAATAAAAGGTTTATTGTTACCCTATCAACGTGTTTGCTTATTCGGAGGGGGTAAACACTAGTTTCATAGCCAAAGACATTAATAGATATGTCTGGGTTTTGCTTCTCGACATGATCTATTGTCTTAAGACTAACTGGGTAATCAATACCGTCCATGTTGAGTTTTTCTGCTTGCATTCTGAGCATCTTAGTTATGCGGCAAGCATCACGTTCTACGGGATGTAATGCTCGAGCCAGTGCCCAGAGGAAGCATCTGTTGTCATCATTTTTGACATTGATCACTCCCTTCTTAGGATGTGCAAGGGCCTCCGGAGTAGGGATGTAAGAGCTCCCCCTCAACGGTTCATAAGCAACTGTATGAATTTCAATGGCAATGATAGATTTAAATGTCCAGTTGCTGCCTCGCAACTGGAATGTCGCCATGGCCTCCATGACTCTATCTACCATTGCATCATACAGCTCATCTGCATCTGTTCCCTCGAGGTTAATCTCGACATTAGAGTGAAAGGCTGCAGGCTCTACGATTGTTTCCGAGGCACTAACAAGGTTCACTTTTTCCATGTTACATCTAAGAATTAGCTTTACCTTAGTGCCTCGGATTCCTCTCAAGAGGTTAACTACATTTTGTCGGGCTGTGTTGAGAAACGATTGAGCATCAAACCCCTCTCTGCCATCTATGGTATATTGAGTCGTAAATTTCCTCAGAGCAGATCTTGTCTCTCTGATTTCAAACATCTGCTGCTTTCTGAATAAAGCATCTACTTTTTCCTTCAAGGCTTTTAATTTCGATGGGGCCTTCTTAACAACTTCTCTGTCTGCATCATGCAGCCATTCAACCCAATCTACAGCAGCTTTGATCGATTTATTTACTTTTTGTTTAACCTTGTCCCTGGTTGTAGGGATAAGGACAGGTTGAAGAGTCGGCACATTGATGCTAGGTACATCTGCATCTAAGAAATTTTGATCTGGAGGATTCCTCTGTGGGATGAAAGCCGATGCCAGTCGTCTTGCTCCTCTAGCAATGTTTGTTGCAGCATTCATAGCCGCATTACTAATTCTTCTGAAAAGACTCATTGTTTTTATCATATATAGATTTTTTTTTCTATAAGTCATTTTCAAAAAAAAATTATTTTTTCATGAATGTTGTATATGTTAACCCACATACAACATTTTTTTTGCTTACATCTTGCTAATTCCTCTGGGGTCACCCACTTTAATCTCATACTTGTTTTTCCACACCCTTCCATCCCAAAAGGTTATTATCCTCGAGGATTTGTCTATGAATTGAGATGCCTTATAAATGGATGGAAATGTAATCTCCTCTCCAGTATTAACATCCCTCAACACAACAGGTTTGGGGTTATTTCTAACTGCCATTGGATCTACCTCTTTCTTTGTCTTCACTGGTTTGGGTGGTTCCTCTGGTATTAATTCCTTTCCTTTCAACAGCTCGATCAGCCGCTTCTTGCCGCAATGAGAATAACCTTTGATTTTATTCTCACGAAGAATTGTTTTCAATTCAGACAGTTTCAACATTGTTTTTTTATTATAGATTTTTATTTTCTTAAAGTCATTTTCAAGAAATGTAGAAATCTAGCTATATACAACGTTTACCTTCTTCCCATCGGTCTTGAAGTTTATCATCTTGTCACTAATCACAACAGCAAATGCTTCGGTACCCGCTGGCACGTTGGCATTAAACTGCATTTTTATTTGGATGTCAGTGACTGCGGTCTTCAGTCGCTCACTCTGCTTGCTGACGTCGAACACAAACAGTGGGAAAAGAGTCTTGTAATCGGCGGGGGTGATGTTGGGGTTTGACACCAACTCGTCCATGTTGTAAAACTTGGACCTGAAGGCTGCTGCATCACCGTACGCCCGACTGAATTGCTGTTTGGGAAAGGAGAGGTTGTAGTCAACTGCGGGGTATCTAGCCGAGTTTAGCATGACAAATATATTCCTCACATTGACGTTGTCAAAGATGGAAGGATTCTGCTCTTGGTCACCGTCTTTGTCAGTTTGGAAACCGACAATGATATAGCGCGGTCTTTCAGGCGCTGATTTGACAGATAGTCTCCAGGTGAAGCTAGTTGACTGTGTTACGGAGATGGAATCACATTGCCTGATCCTGTACATTACGGGTAGAAGCGCATTTGAATCGAGTGTCTTGTAAAGCTGAAATTTTTCAGCATCTGCGGGTAGTACATGAGGCATAAACCACGACACCTTTTCGAGGGTAATTTTCCCATCATCAACATTTGCATTCCTGAAGATCGCATCGTTGTCCGTTTTCCGCACCAGAGTCAGGGTTTGTTTCATACCATACACAATTTTGTCATAGTCTTCGCAAAATCCAAAGATGTGCTTGAGTGGTACTCTGAAACTAAATGTGCCCTTTGGATCAGGAGATTTGATTATATAGGATTGGCGAACGCTAAATCCGGCATTGCCTGCTGCTGCAGCTGCAGATGCTGCAGCTGATGTGTCCTTGTACCACAATTGATTCAAACCCTGCGACTTGGAGAAGTCATCTGGATATTTCAAAAAACCAAGCATCGTTGTACCCTGTCCTGGATGAAAGAGAGATTCAATCTCCTGTCCTGAAAGCTGGTACTTGATGTTGCTGAAAAGATACATGAGAGCATTATTCGTCAGTGTAACGTTATCATCGTTTGCGTAAGCGGTCCCGTCAGTTTTTGTCAGACGCCCTCCGATGATCAGATAGCTCTCGCTTGGGTGAGTAAACAGATCTTGTGCTTCAATATTGATCCTGAGCTCACCTGGGTTATTGAGATTCGTACCGGTAATCGGATCGTACTCATGGTATTCGTATTCTTCGATGCTGTCATCCTTCATGGGAGCCTCAGTAAAATTTAGAATGTTCATCATATTTTACTTTTTTATTAGCAAGAGAAAATTTTTTATATCATTTTACTCCACAAATGACAAAAATGCATGAATCGCGTGTTTGGTAATCATGACGCTTGAATTCGATAGCCATTTTTTTTTATTATAGATTTCATTTTTCTTTAAATCAATTTTAGACCAGATCCTTGATTCAATCTTTTGACGAGGTCTTGAATCGCAATCGCCCTCTGTTGCTGCATTCCGCTCCCATCTATTAGTGAATGGATATTCTGATCAACTGGGGATGACTGCTTCGCCGGTGTACCAGCATGCTTTTGTAGAATTGCTCGAGATTTGGGTGTAAGAGCTTTACGTGCGAGACCGCGCACTCCTTTCTCAAGGAACTTCTTTCCAGCATCAAGAGCTGCAGTCTTTCCAGCATCCATAGCTTTCTTCCCAACTTCCTTAGCAACGCTTTTACCAGCATCTAGAGCGGTAGAGGCAATCTGTTTCGCAGCATTGCTAGTAAATAATCTAGTGAAAAAACTTGCGATGCTATCAAACATTCCAGCACCGCCATAGACATACTGTCTTCTAAATCCACGATTCTTTGCTATAAACATTATTTTTTATAGTCTAGATATTATTTTTTTTATATGCATTGACGTCCAGCACCTTTTGTCTTTTTAGTTCATCGCAAATCGATACAAGCTCGTTCCGAACGCCTGTGTTACCCGCTGCCTTGCTTGCCATCAGCAGGTCTAGTCTTTCGAGCAATGCATTAGGATCGCTAGCAATGATGTGCCGCTCCCTTCGTAATAATCCCTATTAGTCCAAATGGTTCTAAGCACATTCTTCCATTTCAACCCCTTGCTGGCCTTTGGTCTGTTACTCTCTGGATCGTTGCCTTTTTTGAGAGCGTTCGATTCAATCATCATCTTCGCGTAATTTTCGTAGTCCTGGTCGGTGTATATTTGATCGTCTGGATTCTTGGTTATGATGAGTTCCCACAATCCCGGTGTTCCTTGGTACTCTTCACCATCCACTACTATGTTATCATCTACAAAGGCGACGGGCTTATTGCCTATATAAAAATTGCCGTTCTTATCGTATAGCCCGTACGTTCTATCAGCCTCGGATTTGGAAGCGAACTTCCTTAAATATTTGCGCGCGATTGGTCCGATAAACTTCGTATCAGTATCTTCCTTTTCTTGTTGTTGAAACCCCTCTATAGATGGAACGCTGGAAATGTGATTTTCTTCAATTCCGATGTTTTCTTTGATGGGTCTAATATCAGATCTTGTGTCTTTTGCCGTACTTTTTTGTACGTCCGTTATAGGCTTGAATATTTTACCGAGATCTGTTTGAAACTCTCGTTCACCAGTCTGTCTCTCTATATCTCTGTTTTGGAGCCTCTTTTTCAGTTCGAGAAACTCTTTTACGATTAAATCCCTTTTCTCGGGATCTGTAATCTTTAGAAATGACATTTTTTTTGTTTCTAAAGATAATATTTTTTTTATCTCGATTTTCATCTCGATTTTCATCTCACTTTTCATCTCGATTTTCATCTCGATTTTCATCTCGATTTTCATCTCACTTTTCATCTCGATTTTCATCTCGATTTTCATCTCACTTTTTCTCGAACAACTTGTGGAAGTACTCGCGGGTTTCCTGCCTTCCCTGTTCGATCAGGGATTGCTGTAGGCCGTAGTCCATGTGCTTCTTGGAAACCTTTCTTATTTCTTCCTTCTTCTCGCGGTACTTGACCAACTCTGCTAGTATGAGTTGAAATTCCTCATCACTTACTGCATTATCGGCTAGCGCCTTCGAGATGTACGACGATATCGTGTTCAGTTTTGCTTGTGCCAAAACCTTGATCTTTTCGTGCTTTTCGGCTGTGGCCGCACACTTCTTATTCACATATTTTCCGACGATACTCAGAGCTCCGGTAGCAAGCGCAACGCCCTCCATCACGACAACAATCGGTGCTGCTACTACCGTAGATAAAAGGCTAACACCACCGATGCCAAGCCCCATGGTGACGCCGATAAGACCAACATCGACATTATCCACTATCTTCACGGCTCTGTGGTACTTCTTGCTAAGAGTCTCACGCTTTTCTCTTCCTTCCTCGAGAATCCTCTGAATCTCGTTAATTTTCTGTAAACGATAACCTTGTCCCTCATCTTCAGGGGGAGCTGTTGGCAACTTTGGATAAAGCGCCATATCATTATTCACTTTGTTGATTTCCATATTTTTATATGTGTGAGATTTTTTTTTATGTCATATAATGTATGAGACATAGAGGCTCGTTTTCCTCAATAACAACAACCCCGTTCTAATTGTTCGCGATGTTTATCACCACATCATCAACACTTTCGAGAATGGCTTCATTTTGTATACTGCATTGCCTCATTTTAAGGCTTTGCTTTAGTGTCGTTAAAACCATACCACTAGTCATCCTCAATCCAAACCTTAATCTAATCGTTCTATTTTCTTTTGGTCCGATGGTAAGTTTATTTTGATTGAAAATTTCCCACGTTACTGGTTGCACCTTCTGTGGAGGATGTTTTACATCCATTACCGGTATCCAGTAAATCGTCTTCGGCTGTCTTGGCAAGTTATACCAATTTTTCGGTTTTACACCAAATTTGTGAACAGGCATTCTTTTTTTATATGTATATATTTTTTAATATATATATGTTCATGACCACGTATGCATGAAACACTCATAATATTGCACCGAGGATCGGAATGTTGTTGAATGGGCTGTTAGGTCCCAGGATAAGACCCTTCCCATTATACCATCTCCTTTTTTATTTATATAAAGTCCATCACCAACGGCTTCTAGACCCGAACCGGTCGCGGGTCCTAAATAAAGTCCTTTTCCGTCTGTCTCTATCTGGCAAACACAACCTCCTTTCTTGAGATACAACCCGTTCCCAACCACCTTTTGCACTCCCGAACTAGTCAAACCAGAAAGAGCGCCAATGCCTAATGCTGGAAGTACCGTCTTTGCCAAAACAGGCAATGCACGCGCTGCCAAACCAGCAAGCATCCCAAGGAAACCGCCCTCAACTTTCATATTGTGTTTGAGTTGAGCTTTACTCATTTTGATAGTTATTCCTTTACCACCTTCATAGGCTTTGGCTAATCTCTTCACTTGTCTGTCTGTCAGTGCTAAGACATCTTCACCGTTCAAATCTTCGTGACCAAAACGGACACTGACAGGACAACAGTTTTGTTTCTGCCCTTCTGAAACATTCAATTTAATATTCGTATATCGTGACATTTTATATATACGAATATTTTTTTATTACACTTGTCTGATGTGAAACCTCAATGATAAATTATCTCCTCTTAAATTTAGCAGCGTGCCATTTTGGTCGGTGAGTGAAGTCTCAAGACTGTGTATGGTGTCTAGTGTCACGGGAAGATACACCAAATTTCGTGGTGTTTCAACTATTATATGTCCAGGGGTGACATTTGGAAAGAAGGAGTATATCGTGTGTTGTGAAGCTCCATTAACGTAGCTCCCTGAGATATTGTCAACATTAACATGCAAGCTGACAATACTAAGAATGTTGACGACATTTTCAGACTCCTGAAATCCTAGTGCGTAAATGTTGTGGTTAAATCCTAACACACTGGAAATGGAGTTGGGATGCCTAAAGTCTATTTGGTAATTATTATCTAAAATAAGGACAGTCTTTAGTGTGTTCGTGTTAGCAGAAATTGTAACGTAATATTCCTCATTGACACTGCCATAGTGTCCATTCTGCCTAATCTTTTGTTGAATTGTGTCGTTACTGTCATCGATGTTATAGATACCTTCTGGTAAATAAATTTCGAACAACGTTGTTCCGCCATCGGGCGAGTATCTAAAATAACTATTACTCGCATCAATGTTAGGAAAAGAGTAGTAAGTCTCGAGATTGACGAGTGCCATCTCGTGCTTTTTCTTTTTGTCGAGTTGAATTGGTGGATTGAACCTAGTTCTAAATCTTGTCTTGTTGCTATTCAGGACAATCTGAAACGAGGTTTTAGGCTCAGTGTTTTCAGCTATTTTTTCAAGTATTGATTCCATTTTTTTTTTATATAATATAATATTTTTTTTAACTCGGAATATAAAATGTATCAAATCCACTTCTTTACTTACCGTTCTGCCTGTTACTGGTCAGGTCGATCACTACGAACCCATGTGGTTTTTCCCATGCTACCTTGCACAGACCTTTGAATTCATCTTTTGACATGTCTTGACTCACATGATCATTATAGATATGGTTGATATTCTTCAGGTCTTGTGGGAACAAGCAGATAAAGTTTGCATTTTCTCTTATCGTTTGGCGTGGTAGCTTGAAGTAATTTTGTGAAAGGTAGAAACAATCTACATTGCTGTGTCTTCCACGAATATAGTAAGACTCGCATTTATTCTGTTTCTCCAACAGCAAATCATCAAATATCATTAAATTCTTGTTTTCGGAACTTAAATCATGGGGGTCTGGGACGTCTTCGGCAGATTCGTAAAAGCAGCATTGTATGTCCGACTTGTCTTTCATCTGTTTAGACCCTGCCTCAACAAGCGCTGAGGGTGACACATCTGACTTCATTACCTCATCGCGCAGGGCAAACAAGCGCATGATAGCTTCTTTTGGCAATTTCTCTTCAAAAGCTTTCTTGAGGATGCGGTATTCAGGTTGGAATAGACTCTTGCCGAATACTGCTAGCTTGTTATAGTCAAGCCAACCCGGTCTCAGTAAAAGATTGAGCAAAAGTGTTGTTTTACCACACCCCGATTTGCCTACAATCATTCCCCTTATGCTCTTTGGCAGAAGCTTGTGATTGAACCGTTTTGATACCATTTCATTCCACGATAAATCTTTGACTTCCATATTTTTAATATAAATATTTTTTTATATATAAAAAACATAATGTACTGCCTTAAATGCCAAAGAGCCACTGAAACAAGTGATGTTCAAAACACTGTTTCTAAAAATGGACGAAATATGAAGCGGGGTAAATGTGTAGTGTGTGGGACAACAAAAACACAATTTGTAGGCGGATCAATGGTGAATGAAGCCATCAATCATTTATCGTTTGAAATGCATCTCCCGGGACATAATTTTACGGGACCTGGGAATAATCTCGGTAAAAGGCTGAAACCAGACCTCACACCAAAGAATGGAGTAAACCTATCAACAGGGTTGATAATGCTGCATACCATCATGATGTGTGTTACTTGAAAAACAAGGACACTAATACAAGAAATAGGGTATGTGACAAGAATATGTTAGCTGAACTGGGTGGAATTGTTAACCCTACACTTAGAGAGAGGTTGGATAGATCTATTGTGGACAAGATCATTGGCACTAAGATGAGGTTTGGAATGGGGGTGGGAGGGAAAAAAAAGCAGGTTGAGGAGATGAGCTCAACGCCTACAGCACTCAAAGCATTGGCTGAATAATTACACAGACCCATGAGAAAAAAGTTTGAGAGAAGGAGGGTACGTGTTAATGGCATCGATGAAATTTGGGCCGCAGATTTGGTAGACATGCAGGCATTCTCGAAATTTAATCGCGGCACCAAGTATCTCCTTGCCGTTATCGACATTTTCTCCAAGTACGGTTGGTTAGTGCCATTAAAAGATAAAACGGGGAAATCGGTCGCAGCTGCACTGAAAAAGATACTCAAGGGGAGGAAACCGAAAAAGATTGGGTGGATAAGGGCAAAGAGTTTTACAATAAAGACGTGCAGAGTTTAGTCGAGTTATACTCGATTGAAAACGAGGAAAAATCGAGTGTGGTGGAGAGATGGATCAGAACGATGAAGGAAAAAATGTGGAAATATTTTTCCTCCAATTCCACGAGTGTCTACATCAATGTGCTCGACGAACTTGTCGATCAGTACAATAATACGACACACTCGTCAACAAAACATACACCCACCGAAGCCAGCAAGAAGAAAAATGAAACCCGAGTGTGGATGAATCTATACCCCAACCATGATGAGCCTAGGATAATTCACCCCAAGTTTTCCGTCGGAGAAGCCGTGCGGATAAGCAAGAAAAAGAAAACCTTTGAGAAGGGCTATCAACCGAGATGGACGGAAGAAGTATTCACGATAACGGCGGTACAACGCACGTCGCCCGTAACGTATAAGATTAGCGACCAAAACGGAGAAGAAATTCGGGGTACCTTCTACGAACCCGAGTTGCAGAAGACGAGCCAAGAGGTATACTGGATAGAAAAAGTCGTCAAGAAGGGTAAAACGAGGTCGCTGGTCAAGTGGAAGGGTTATCCAGAGACGTTCAATTCATGGGTCAGCAATAAGGAGATAGTCGAGCTTGCGAGGCCGCTCGTTACATTATAGAATGTATTTTCTTTAAGTCATTTTTTAGAAACGTCATTTTTCTTTAAGTCATTTAGACCATGTTTAAATGACTTAAACATTGTTGTGGTTGGTTTTGAGCTTGTTGAGTCAGATGTGT